GGAATTAAGGTCTGCACCTATAAGGAAATGATGTCCTAAGGAATTAAGAAAGGATATGAAGTTAGGTTAGGTTATTGCTGTTTTAGGTGGGGAGTATGCTGCAACAACTGTGACAGGAAAAAGTGAAGTTTGGATTGTTATTGCTGAGGTTTGTAGGAAATTATATACTGGTGAAGGATAAAAGTGATGGGAGAGGGATTGATGGATGATGGCAGCAGTACCTCCATGTGATGTTCCATCAGGATGGTCAGTTCGATAAATCTTGTAGCTAGGTATGTTGAACTGTCGTTTATTAGTTAGTCGAGTCTCAGTTATTAGGGCTATGTCAATGTTGGTGTCCTGTAGAAAAAAAGTTAGTTCATTGATGTGGTTTCGAACACCATTCGCATTCCAGAGGAGAATGGAAAGGGGTTTTATTGAGGGCATTTAAGGAATTCTTGGCGGTGGTATAAGGTTAGATATGACATTTGTGAGTAAGGAGATAAGTGGTGTGATAAGAGATCTGAATTCGGAGAGGAATGATCAAAGGAGACTCGTAAGATCATTGGAATTGTTAGGGGGAGGGATGTACATTTGGTGGTGACTGGACTTTTGGGTGTTATTAAGTTACGGTGGCGGATTATGAGGTTGAGGTTGAGTTTGTGGCAGGGCCTGAGGTTGAGTGGGCTGTTCTATTTCTCCCAGTATTTGAGCATAGGAGACTTGATTGTTTGTAAATCTTGTCTGTTGCCTTGGTGGTCTGGAAGTCCTGGAGGTCTCTTCCTGTCTAGGAGCTGTTAGGAGTCTCGATTTTAATATTTTGTAGGTCTGGCATCCTTTATAGTTTGCTGGATGGTCTTTATGGCATAATGCGCACACCGCAGGTGTTTGCCTGGACTTACTGCATTCTTCCGATTTGTGTTGTTGCCCGCACTTCACGCAGCGCGGTAAGCGGTGGCAATAACTTTTAGTGTGGCCATAAGATTGGCAATTATGGCATTGAACTATTTCCTTCTTGCTATATGGTTTTTCAACCACTATACTAGTATAGTACAGGCGTCTTAATTTGTAAATATTATCGACCCCAGTGGTGCGCTCTAGGTCTACAAAAAATAATGGTAGGGCTATTTTATTATTTGTGCCCGGCTGCTCTTTATTTTCTTTAAATATATTAACAATTTGGCGGACACTGAATCCTATATCCGTTAATTCTTCCTTGATTGCATCAGGTGGAGTTGAAGGGTGTAGGCCTCTTATCACTATTCTTAGTGCTCTCTCTTGGAATAACTGATAAGTGTGAAATTCCGTCTTTGTATCAGTTAAATATTTAACAATTTTTTTATAAGTTTCAGGGGAATCTGGCATCAACTTCGTGTCATTGATTCGAGTTTGACATATGTATTTGCCGTTGTCCAGTAGTTTATTTAGATGCTGGCAAAATAGCGGAAAATTTTTTTATATTTCTGATGAATATAGGAGGTGGTTTTGGTTCTCTAGGGGTTGGTGGTATTTCCATTGTTTCTTCCAATGACAGTAATTGATATGGGTTAGGAGTAAAAAATGGAGATTCATCTGTTTCGTTATTTATATTTTGTGCAGTCATATTTTTCGTTGAAGTACCAGGTTGAGGGTCATTCATGCTATCACTAGGGTTATCAGGTGTTAAAGGTGGCGTTTTTCTATTAGAACGTCTAGGCTTCTGTTTTACCGGTGAACTTCGAGGGCTGTTATTACCTAAACTCCTAGATCTTTTGTTTTTGCTAGACATTATCATATGGTAATATCGCATCTCATGACGGTAATGTGGTAATTAAAAGAGAGGAGAAAATAAAATAAATAAATAAAAGTTTTTAGTACGTAACTAATTACGTAGACTTGTAGAGGCCTTCTAAGTATACGTGTTCCCCCTTAGAAGTCACGGAGGCAACTAAAGGTAGTGGGGGGCAATGATATGGCCTCTACCTATAAAACTATCGTTGTTTACACTGTAGTTTTAATGTTAATAAACAAGTTGTTTACTCACTTTGTTTATGTTGAGTTGAATAGTCAATTGATAAATGTTGAATTGTCACTGTTTTATTGCACTAAAGTTCACTAATTAACTGGTAATTAAGTCACTTTGTGGGAGACGATGTAGCAGGTTGATAGATAGAAACTGGCGCATGCGCATACCCGAAGGGGATAGGTAGAGGGTAGGATTTGTTGATGTTTGTGTATTTATAGTCTTAGTTGTATATGTGGTATTATATATGTTTTTTTTCCAAAATTAAATAATGAATTGGTTTGAATGCCGATATCTTTCTTTTCGATAGTGTTTGGATTTTTTTTGTAATTTCAGCAAAAGATATAGCAAACTGGGTTGGATTATATTCTTTATACATTTTGTTTGCTTCATTTAAACATATTTTATTTATGGTTTGGATAGTTTTTATTTGTTTTTGTATTATAATAATCGGACACTGACGATCTAACGAGTTGTGTTTTTGGGCGCAATTGGCACAGCGGGCTGGGCGCGTAAATCTCACGTAATTTTCCCACATTTTGCTTCCTCACATTTCCTTTTAGTTATTTTATAGATTTGCTTTGTTGTTTACAGACGTTTGAGGGATGACTGAAAGACAAGCAGTTAAAGCAGTGAAGGGGATTATGGATATAATCTTGTATCTTGACCGTATGAAATTCCATCTTTATTGTTTCCGGAATTCTCGGTGTAGGAAAGGTGACGACATAAGAATTCGTAATTATCTCATTTCCATTATTTTTTATTTCAATGCGTATTATATCCTTTATTATTTTAGATAATTAACTTTTGTTTTCGTCTATCTCTAGAAATTGGAGGTCGTAACACCGAATCACACCTTTACTGTAATTTAAGGTATTGCGGGGGTCACCTGAACCGGAAATTGGCCACTAAAATTTTTACGTTTTAATAATTCTTCCGATTGTTTTCTGTTTTTTTTTTTTTTCTGTAAGTAGTGTTCTATTTCTTAACTTTTTCACAGTTTTTAAGTCTACCACTAAACCTGAAAGAAATTTATTTACTAAGAAAGGTAAACTTTTTGAAAACTTTGATCATCTGATCTTTCTATTATTTATTTTTTTTTAGTAAATTTCCTTATTGAGATATATTACAATCTGTCATATTTAAGGACAACAGTAATAGTGATAAAGATTAGCTCATTCATACTATGCACAATAAATAAAAATAAATAAACAGCAATATAATAATACTAAAAGTAAATGTATATAAACTAAAAGCTACTAAACTAAACAATTATTAAAACGATGGGCTAATTGGGATCGCACCATCCGTATTTTCGGCTTCAAATTTAACATGGTCGTTTTCGTTTAACCTTTGGGCTATTTAAGTCTATGAGATCCCCCATTAAAATATGAAATAAAATGTACTAAAAGGAATCAAAAGAAGGCAACTAGTAAAGAAAAAAAATGAATTATCTCAAAAAATGTTGTTTCCCATTTTATTTATTAATTTGTTTGGGCTTCAAGGACCACTTAAGCATAATTTCATATATGTAGTTTTTTCTATTTCTTCCAAAGCCTCTCTCCCCTTCCCCCCTAAAAAAATACATAAAGTAAAATAAATCCCGGATCGGCTACTGCTGCGTCGCATTGTCTGACCATTGTATTTTCCGGTTAATGGCTCACATGGATAACAACGAGGACGTCAAATAAGGATGTGAGTTTTATGACAAAACTAAGGACTGTTATCTCTACTAAATCCAACTTGTGTTAAGGTAATTGACAGTTATGGCCTATATTTTTAAGAATTAAATTTAATCTATGTATATTGTGTATTAATATGGATATAAAAGTCATTTTTTATTAACGACTTAGCACTAAATGATGATATGAGATTATAGTCATTATACTAGGAAATGTCAGTACTAGCTTCGGTGGATCATATAAAGTTTACTATAGTGTGATAGATAACATTTACAAGTGTACACGATGTCCCATAACTAATGTAAAATATTCAAAGAGGTTATAGTAAGCCACAAGAGCTCCAAAAATGTTCATATAATTCATGGGATCCGATATAACTCTCATATAACTCATGGGCCGATTTTCCAAAGAAAATTAAAAAAAAAATAAGTTTTGTGTTTTATTATCTAAGCTGCGTTTTTAGTTTAATTGTAAACACTAAATAAAAAATATGTAATGCAGGAAATTAATAACTCTATGATCATAAACTAGACAAAATTGACTTCAAATGCAAATTCAGTTTGTTTTGTGAAAACCATTAAATGGAACTTTTGAGGTAATTGAATTTTTTTTTTAAATCATGAAATTTTTTTATCATCTTCCAACTATCCTATTAATACTCCATTTTAAGATATAAGCTTTAAGTTAATATTAATTAAGTTGGCGTTTATTCTGAAATAAGTTGAGATTCATCTCAGGTTATGTAAAATATTATGTGATTAGATATCCTGTAACCTAAACGTGTGCGTGTTTCAGTAAAAATGGCATAAAAAATAACAATGGCAATAAATTATAGCCAAGCTTTAATTTATTTTTTACCATGACCAGGGATGTAGTCAAAGTTTTTCAGAAAGTGGGCTGTCTGTAGTTATAGTTAGAGAGTGATGAAACAAAATCGGAAATAATTCATTTTTATTTTTTAACAGAAGGCTTATTTTAGCCAGTTATAAGTTGCATTTAAATGCTTTCAACAAAAATAAACTGTATATGCGTTTGAAATATATTTTGTCAAGTTTATAATGATAGAATTGTAAATTGTCTGGATTACATATTTTTTTTCGTTATCAGTTCCTTTTCAACAAAAAAGATGGCTTACTTAAAAACAAAAGGCACGAAACTCCAATTTCCTATTTTTCCGTACAAAATGGCATATGGTTTATATAAAACTTTTAAAGCTTATTTAGTCTCTTATCACCTCTTTAAATATTTTCCATTTCTTACGAGACACCTTGTATAGAAGATTATTGTTGTTTGATAAGAGATGTATGTGTGACTATGTACTGTTAGGTAGGAAGAAAATGTCGGAGAGAAGAGGTTCAGTATGTGAAGTAACATCACCAGAAGGCCACACTACCCTTATCGAGGAAGGAGAACCAGTGCAACCACCGAGGAGAAGGCCACGTGACCTCACTCATCTCGCTCACTCCAAACCAGGAGCGTCCCCTACTGACATCGGTAAATCATTTTATCACAATTTAATTTGTAATAGTTCTATATATATATTATATATTCTCCTCACGCTTAGTTAAAAAATACTGAAACTATCCGATTTTTCAAGGCGGATGGTGATTCCTTAAACAACCTTTGTTCTATTTATCTAATTATTTATTTTTATCGATTTCAGAGCGAAATCGATGGATTGAAATAAATAATTTTTTTCACATTAAACATTTGTTTATTTATACATCCCACGTTTCCCGCATCATGGGTACATAATGCGTTGGTACATTACAAAACATTGGTACATTACTAAAAATTTGTAAAAATCTGAAAAATATACTAACAGGAATTATCAGGAAGACAGAAACAAATCAATTGAGATTTGTTATATCCAGTGGCGTGACTAGGAATAAAGTAACGAAAAGAAGCATCCTACAGTAGTATTACCTTTGTGCTCCCCTTCCCACTCCTCCCCCTCTTTAAAAATCTTTCAGCATATAAAATCAGTTGATTAAATTTTTGGAGGAATAGGAAAAATAAAAATAAAAGAAACTTTCAGCATTCAAATCTGTTTCAAAAGTGTTTAAAACATTTTCTTTTTCCTCTAGGGTTAAACTGTTATGGTTTATTATTTTTTTTAAATGCCAAAAAGCCCATCTCTGTTATGTTTCTGACTCATGATATTTAAAGAATAATCTATTTGGAAGGAATCTATTGAGGTACGCTTTCCATTGGAAATTAAAAGAAGTTTAGCTGGAACTGGTGGAAGTGGAAGTTATTGTTAAGTACTTGGAATACTAAAGCACAAAACTACAATATTAGTGAACACAACTATTTTATTCATCATAAAAGATAACACTGTTAGGTTAATACAACTCAATAACTAATTGGTATAATCGATATATCACAATTCCTCCCTTTCTAAAGAAAGTGTATCATAGTTATAAAAATAGAAACATATTAAAAACATGAAAAAAAATTATCAAAATTACATATAAGTCTTGTATAAAACTATTATTATTAAAACACTTTATTCAGAAATATTACAATTTGTCACAGTTAAGGACACTTATAATAGAGTTCAGAGATTGCATTCATACCGTATATACAAAAATATAAATAAATAAAGTAATACTTGTATAAAACTAGGAACACAAATTAACTAACACAAATAACTGAGTCTTCTGCAGCTCTCAAGGAGGGCTCCCACTTCCATGACTGATTATTTGGTTGCTCTCTTGTTGATTTGGTAAAGAGGGAAGAGTTCAGAAATGTACAAGATGCCAGAGTGAAGAGGGACTTCGAAATAGGCAGTGACCACTACCTGTTGATGCTCGATAAAGTTTGGAATGACAGTAAAATGAGGAACAGATGTGTAGGTAGTAAGAACAAAACGATTAAATCTTACTGGCTGAAAGAGGATGAAATGGCCCAATACTATCAGGAGGAAGTGGAAAGGATGTCACGAGATATCTACCAATCATGGGATAGCAATGATATTGAGGAGAGTTGGACAGCATTTAGAAATATCATTCTTGATGACGCGAGACTCGTCTGTAGTCAGAAGAACATTGGGTCAAATTTCAAGCGAACTGCTTGGACAAAGGATGTAAAGAGAGCTGTTAAGGAGAAGAAAGCAGCTTGGAAAGACTTCATGAGCCAAAGAACACCCATTGCTCACCAAAAGCACAAAGAAAAGAGAAAGGAAACAAAAAGTAAATTACTTGGAATCTATCGCCAAGATGAAACTCGGAAAGTCGGCGGGACTGGACGGAATCACTCCGGAAATGATGAGTTTTATGGGAAGTAAAGGCCAGGAAATGTTTCTCTATCTTGTGAACCTGGTCTGGAAACAGAAGAAGATCCCGAAGGACTGGGAAGTCGCAGTCATAGTGCCAATATATAAGAAGGGAGACAACAGGGACTGCAACAATCATCGAGGTATTTCGCTCCTTAGTGTTCCTTGTAAAATATACTCAAAAATCCTAGAGGCAAGGGTCAGAAGCACCGTAGAATCCAAAATTGGAGAGGAGCAGTATGGATTCAGGAGTCAAAGAAGCACACAGGATCTAGGTTTCACTATGCGACAAATCACAGAGAAGATTGTCGAGAGGGGAAAGGAACTCTCAGTGTGCTTTGTAGATCTCTGCAAAGCCTTTGACCGGGTTACGAAAACGGATATAATTGAGGCTCTAGAGGAAAAAGGTGTAAATAATGGACTTATAAGGGCCGTAAGCAGTTTATACGTAAATACGAGGAATCTTGTTAGAACAAGAAACCATACCTCTCGAGACTTCAAAACAACACTGGGCATACGACAGGGCCTGAGCCTGAGCCCACTTCTTTTCGTACTGGTTCTCGACCTGGCGCTGCGAAAAGCAAAACAGAAGATTCGAAGTTTTCATTTGGGTCACAGTCATGCAGCCTACTCTATACTCTCTGCTGGCGTTTGGGGATGACCTCGTCATATTGGCCCAGAATGACCGTGACCTCCAGAATAACACTAATATCCTAAAGGAAGATTTAAGAAAAATCAATTTGAAAATTAACCCTGAGAAGACGAAATGCATGCGCATTGGAAGAAAACCTCACAGGGTTATGAGGGTATTGAGGGTCGACGGTGAGATTTTAGAGCAGGTGGACAGTTTCAAATACTTAGGTGCCCAACTCAACGAAAATGGATATATTGACGAGGAGGTAAGGCAGAGAATAGGAGCTGCTGGAAGAATGTTCGGCTCGGTGAGGAAAGGCTTTCTGAACCGAAAAGAGGTGACCAAGGAAACGAAGATGACGGTCTACAGATCAGTATTCCATCCTATACTGACGTATTCTTCCGAGTCCTGGACACTTACTTCGAAAACAGGAGCCAGATCCAGGCTCTAGAGATGCGATACCTACGAAAGGTGGAGGAAAAGACCAGACAGAATTCGCAATACTACAATCCGGGCCAATCTCAACGTCAAAGCGGTCGAAACCATAATAGAAGAACACAAGTTGAGATGCTTTATAACCTTCTCCGCATGGATCGGAAGAGAGACCCAAGGAAGACGTATGAGACTCGCGTGCAGGATAGGAGACGGAGAGGAAGACCCAGAATCTCCTGGGAAAAGGGCGTGCGAGATGCTTTCCAGAAGCGAGGTTTAGAATGGAACAGGAGACAAGAGCTGGTACTGGAAAGGTCCACCTGGTCCAAGTTCTACACGAAGCAACCTCACACTGCATAGGCGGTAGAGAGGAACATGATTATGATGATGATGATGATGATGATAATGATATGGGTGAAGTCCATCTGCAATGAGAGTTATCCATACTATAGTAATATTCAATTCTGCTCCAAATCTTTGTACACTGCGAGATGGATTATCATCAAAATATTGTAATATGGCCATACATCTTTCTTTACTTCGTAAAGGGTCAAAAATACAATTAGCATGTGGTATTATAGCAAATGTACCAGTTTCTCGAAGACGTTGAAACGTGGAGTTAAATATATACTTGTTTGGTAATCTTCTATTCGGAAATAGCCTGGCATATTCACGACGGGCAGCATTAGCATTACCATTGCAAACACTATATCGGCATATTCACCATTAGTATGAATGGAAAGCATATTGATGAGTACTCTGTGAAAGCTTCTTACAAACTGATAAAATCTTATTGAGAGTTCCCAATGCTAACGCCAAATAGTATTGATTCTTATTTTGCTAATAGTTTTTGTACAGTTAAGGAATAAAAGGCCATATTAGTATTATATCTAATCCATCTCGTAAACAAAGCGTTTGCGGACATACCTTCACTTTGAACAACATTTAATATGAATGTTAATATATACATTTGATTAATAAAGTAGTTAGAACAAATATATATGTTTTATTTATTTCATATAACGTTAATAATTCATAACAACGAAAATATTTATGTGTGAATATCTCTTAAACAAATCGTTTGCGGACCATACCTTCAGTGGACATTTTTTTTCTTGTTTTGAGGTCCCTAATTCACTTTTGCAGTTTGGTCACTTAACCCGGAAACACCCTGTATAATCAACAAATATGCAACTGAACTAGTTGCATGCAGATAACTGGACAGGTTGCCCCTTCATGGTTGATGGCGCAAGAATACACCACTCCCAAAATATTTTATTGCTCACCTTTTCTTAAAAACAGAGCAAGCTGGGGTAGAATTAGAAAATCGTAGATCATATACAATTACACTTGCTGCGGTATGTTCCATGTTTTTTCACTTGTCCCTTAGTCCGAAAATTCATAACTCCGTCGTAATTTGTCCCCCTCAAAAATTTAAAAACCCGTCAAAATATGGCCTCTCTGGACGTTTTGATTTGCCCCTTCTGGACACCCCTGTAACTGGATAGAAATAGTCCAAGATAGGGAGATATGGAAACGACTGGTTAAGGGCGCAAATGATCTACTTCGTTTGTTAAGCCAACGGAATATATATATATATATATATATATCAGTCTGGCCCTAGCCTTCAAACAGATAGCATCGGTGTTCGTGTTTAATTTCAAGTTGTGCTATTACAGTTCAGTTCACCATCACTAAAATATTTAAAGTGCTGTTAATGTTAATTGCGTTGACGATTAATATAACCTTTTGAACTAAATCATCAATACCTAAAAACAATATAAGGTAAGAAAACAATTTAAAATTGTTGTGATATAGCCGAGCGTAAGATAAGGCGCTTAACCCCATTTCGGCTACCTCTCCCCACCACTTCTACCGGTATCTACTCTATTATTATTACCAAGTTAATCAGCTGCTCACGATGACTCTATGTCCTAAATGCAATAATACTATTGCCAGAGAGGATAAAACAACTTTTGTTTGCACAACGTGCAAATTAATATACCATAAAAAATGTATAAACGTCTCTGAAGCCGACTTAAGGCAGCAACAAAAAAAAAAATTGGTTTTGTACATCATGTTCAAAACCTCAAAGTAAACAGGGCACAGCAACCGTGGATGTGTCAGAAGAGAGCAATACCTCTATTTTGGCTGAGGTTAAAAAGATCGCCGAGGATGTAAAGGAACTTAAAGTCTCGCTCGGAAAGCAAAGTGATCTCGCATTCGAAAATAATGAGAGACTTAAAAAAATAGAAGAGATGGCATTGAAGCAGGAGAAAATAATATAAAATTTACTCAGTGAGAATAAACAGTTAAAATCTCAAATTAGCAACCTGGAGGTGAGACTTAACCAAACAGAACAAGCTCAACTATCCAACTCCCTGGAAATACGAGGTATCACACCCGATGTTGGAGAAACTACCGAGGGCTTGGTTTGCTCTATCGGTGCAGCTCTGGGCATTAAGCTGGGTGTTGAAGACCTGGATTTTGTGGAGAAGAAAAGGACCAGGAGAGAGGACCTTAGGCAACCGCCAATCGTCGTGAGGTTCGTCCGCCGGACGGTGCGTGACGAAGTCATCCGCTTGAGCAAGGTTAAGAGGGACTTTTCCACGCGGCATCTGGGCCGAAACAGCGACGAGAAAATTTATCTGGGCGAAGAAATGATTCCAGCTAATAAGCATTTATACTGGTTGGCAAGGCAGAAAAGGGCGTCGGGTATGCTGAGATACGTATAGTTCGCTGGAGGAAAGGTACGATACAGAAGACAGGATGGATCCCCGGTCATCATCGTCAACAAAAAGGAAGACATTGAACTGCTGGAATGAAATAGGTCTCACGGTTCCCTCCAACCTCTTTTTTATGAATATCTTTTATTTTATTTTTCTTTTTTAAATATGTTATATGTCTTTTTTGTTTCTATAGTTCATAATAATTTATTCTATTGCTTATTAAGTATTTTTTTTAGAGATGAAATTTTCTTATTTTACTTCGATTCAGATTTTAATTTTTTCTATGCTTACCTTCATTTAAAGAATTCAAGTAAGATCTATATCAATATAATGTACATAATTTGTTACTATATCGCATTATGTAAGTTTAAAAATGTGCCTATTCCATCAATATTAAAACCATTTTGTCACACTCCGCAGATTATCCTTACCCTGATCTCTTCATGACCAATACTTTAATATCCTGTCACGTTAACTCCCAATCCCTTCAGGCACATTATGACGAATTCCTCGATTATTTTCACCATAACTTCCATCATATCATAGCCGTTTCAGAAACTTGGCTCAAACCTGATATTCCCTCCCTATCCGTTTCCTTACCCAACTATACCCTCTTCCGTCATGATCGAATGGAACGAACAGGTGGAGGTGTGGGATTGTTCGTACATGACAGTTTGACGGCCAAAGTCCTTCTAAAATCTCCTCCTTCAGACGTCCCTAACATAGAATATCTGTTTGTCCAGGTTTCCTTTAGTACCTTTCCTCTACTCTTTATCGTTATTTACCGACCTCCTCGTGTCCGATTCGATCCCACTCTCGAATCCTCCCTCCTTACATATATTCCTCTCTACGAAAATATTATTATCGCTGGTGATCTCAACACCAACCTCCTTTCAAACACTCCGGACAGAACATATCTTACCGACCTAGTTTTTTCCTTAGATCTATTTATTGTACCCTTTCAACCCACCCATCACACCCAATCCACTGATACTTGGCTAGATTTATTTATTATTGATTCCCCACATAACCTATTATCCTCTACGCAAATTCCAGTTCCCTTACTTTCATCCCACGATCTTATTGAAATAACATACAACTTCTCTACTCCTTCACCTAAACCCAAACAAATTTCCTGAAGAGATCTAGATTCCTTAACCACTGAAAACATCAGCCCCTTTCTCGATTCTCTTTCCACTTGCTTAGAACCCATCTATTCTCTCCCCTCTATCGATGATATGGTTGAATGCCTTTCTTCCAACCTCCTCGATTTTCTCAATTGTCACGCACCTCTAAAAATACGTGTCTTTAGACGTCTTCCCGCTCCTTGGATCAATACAGAAATAAGAGAACTAATGAGGAGAAGAGAAACTGCTAGAAGGCGATACAGACGTACTAGACTAACTGAGCATTATTCCACATTTAAATCCCTCCGAAATCTCACACAAATGACCCTACGTCGCGCTAAAGCCCAATACTTCAATAACGTTTTATCTCAAGAACCTAACAGAAAAGTTTTACTTTCTCGACATCTCTCCTACTGACCTGCTCTCTGCCACCATTAAATCCAAAACGAATGATTATGGTCCTGACCAAATACCGGTTAAAAATATCAATCTCTGCCTTCCAGCTTTACTACCCGCACTTCTACACATATATAATTTCTCTCTCCAAAATTCCATTTTTCCTAAATCCTGGAAAAGAGCCATAGTCCGTCCACTGAAAAAAGTTCCAACTCCTTCATCAGCTTCCGACTTCAGACCCATCTCCATCCTATCCAAGCCTCTAGAAAGATTAGTTCACTTTCAGTTGAAAAGCTTTCTCGAGCAAAACCATCTCCTCAATCCCTTACTATCTGGTTTCCATTCCCAGTATTCCACCCAGTCTGCCTTGCTAAGGATTACCCAAGACCTCCAATCCGCCATAGATAAACAAAAAATCTCCATCCTAATTCTTTTTGACTTTTCCAAGGCGTTTGATTCCGTTAATCATGAGATCCTTCTTTCCAAACTCCAAAGCCTGCCCATGTGAAATAGCGTCCTAAAATGGTTCCTATTCTTCTTATCCAATCGATCTCAGACAGTTACAATACCGAATAAACCTCCATCATCATCACTTCAATTAACGCGAGGTGTTCCTCTGGGTTCCTCACTCTCCCCGAACCTTTTCTCCATCTATATTAGTGACCTTCCTAACGCCTTTCAACACTCCAATTACCACCTATATGCCGATGATTTCCAAATATACCAATCATTCCAACCTTCTGAGATGCCTGAGGCTGCCCGGAGGCTACAAGAGGACATCGACTGCATCAACAGATGGGCAGAAATAAATGAATTAAAGCTGAATGCAGATAAAACCAAGGCTATTATCATCGGGTCCAGAAATCTCATCGGCTCCCTTCCTTACTTTCCTCTACTTTACCTCAATAACCACCCCATCCATTTTTTCCCTACATTAAAAAAACCTAGGAGTAACCTTTGACCAGAACCTCTCCTGGGATAATCATATCTCCTAGATTACCTGAAAATCCATAACTGCCCTTAAACAACTCCTGTGATTCCGTGATTGTATTCCTCTAAAAACCAGACAGCTCCTTGTAACCTCCCTTGTATTCCCCCACTTCGACTACGGCTGCTTGGTGTATGGAGGGCTATCTGCCAGGCTAGAAATGAGACTAAAAAGACTCATGAATTGTTTCATAAGATTCATTTTTGGGATCCCCAGACGTTCACATGTTTCACTATGGTACACCGAGTTGAAGTGGCTTTATCCTACTTCCCGACGACAATTCCTTCTTGGCGTTTTTCTTTTCCAAGTCTTCAGAACTAAAAACCCTACCTACATCCTGGAACTCCTTACTCTACGCTCCTCTATCCACTCTCTCAATACTAGGTCTCAATCTATAGTCCTATATATTCCCTCAAATAAAACTTCCTCCTTCAGCAAATCCTTCGTCATTCGTGCTGCTTCCTTATGGAACTCACTTCCTACCCCCATGCGTCAATCCTCATCCACAAATTCCTTCAAACAACTCCTGTTCCAACACCTACTCCACATTCAAACTTCCCCTAACATGTAAAATTACTTGCATCTATACAATGTTTGATTTCAATCCATTGCACAATTGAAATAACAATTAACAATAAATTAGTTGGTATTTTTATTATGTCAGACTAAGATACATAAATTTGTAAATCTGTTATTATTCTTAGGGGACAGTAGTCCTAGAATAAAATAATTTTTTCATTTCATTTTCATTTCATATATATATATATTTATGTGTTAGTGTGTGTGTGTGTGTGTATGTTTGTATGTATATTTGTTTATTTTGTCAACTGAAAGGTCATTTCGTTACTAATCAACATGTGCCAGCTATTAGAACAAACAATTAAAACTATGAGAAATCTATATATACAAAATAAAGAATTTGACATTATATTAACGTTTGCTTGACTTAGAACATAGGCTTGAAATGAAAACGAAATATTGAGTAGAACCGAAGTTATGAATTCTTGAGTAATTTGTCTAAAGACGTCGGTTAATGTTGATAATAAATGTTATTAATAAACATATGTTTATAGTTTAAAGAACATCTATATAAATAAAATAAAGGTTTTGTCAGTACATTGAATAGAATCAACGCGGTTCATGATATCTTTCCGTTTTATACATTACAGACACCAAATCCATTTTTCAAAAATTTTTTGTCTGTCTGCATGTCCTCATTGACCTACGAGATTTTGTTAGGGTTATGCTCAACAATGACTAATGGTAGACTTTTGAAAGTTTGATATTATAGTTAGGTTTGCTTGATATAAATATAGGCTTTAAATTAAAACAAAATATTGAGTAGAATCAAAGTTATGAATTCTTGAGTAATTTGCCTAGAGATCCCGGTTAGGCAGTTACTTACTTCGATTCCCATCCCAACCTACTCTATCGCAAGCCATATTTAAAAGTTGTACTACTCAACTAATGGAAACAACTATCATAACTCAACGGGAAAAATCCGGAATACCGCGATAATTTTATTTATCGCGATTTAAATGTAACCTTCCTATGGTGCATAAAGAAGGAATTACTAAAAGGGTAATGAAAAACAGGTGGATTGTGTTTGGTCTGAAATTGTGGATTATGGTACCATGTTACTCAGTGGTGGAAGTGATTTACAGGCAAATATTTTTGATGTTATCGGCATCGAACCACTGTTTTTTGTGTAATAACAACAATTATCTTTTTTTCACAGGTGCTCCCCCCGCATCTCCAGTGTTCAAGTTTCCCCCTCTTTGTAGGCGATCCACTTCAGACCTCACTACTGCATCCGGGCTTACAGAAGAGACCTTACTTTCTCGACGTCCAAGCAGCCCTAGGGGACTTGGCTACCTTGCTTCACGAAGGGCGTCCAGAGAATCTGTAATAGCACCACTTAGATCTAATTATCTCCAACCACCAGGTATATCTCTTTATTTAAACATTATTATGTGCCGCAATATAATATAATAAGTGCAAAACAGTTGACGATGAGTGGTAGATTCATGACCAAATTAATTTTCAAATTGTATAAAAATACATGAACGATTAATTAACAAATTTTTAGACTCATTTTTTCATCCCCCAAAAAATAAAACCAATAAAAAAAGTCTTTATCCATATTAAAAATCTTTTATTTAGTTATATCCCATTTATTTTTAATGTTTCGGCCTCTTTCAAACATTTGTTTGTACATATAATTACCACCTGTCTGAATTTTTGTGGAACTATTTGTCAATATCCTCTTATTTAGACCAAAAAATGTTTTTTTCCGGGTCAAGATTTTTATTAGTGGTTATTTTCTTTTTCTAAAAACAGCAAAAAAGTTTGTTAATACGCATATATTCTAAATATGTTTTGAATAATTAACAAAAACTAATTTATTTATTTATTGAATTATATAACATTATTTCACTTGCACAATGGTTGCAGGAAGTGAAATAAGGGATTCACGTTAAATAAACATATGCTAATTTTTTCCTGTCCACTTAACTTGCTTGATCGTGATCAGCACTTTCAAACTTAGGAAAAGGATTTAGAATCATTGTTTTCTTCCCTGTACTGGAAATGGCATAACATCACCACATCATGTGGACCCGTCAATGTTAGTAAAACCTCTTCGAAGCAAGTGGAATTTTAGAGAAAATTCCACTTCAATTCTTTATTGACAGTGTTGAGGTAGTATGTGATACACATATCACATTCAAACTATATGTACAAACAAAATAACAACTAAATAATTATCAAAAAAGTATATATAATATATAAAATAAAATAACTTAAAAATGAGTAAATTAACAAAAAACAACACATAAATACACTATTTTTTTTTATTAACGAAATTTTACAACTGTAATTAATAATAAATACAACAAGTAAATATGAACAAGTAATATGACGTGTACAACATGAGGAGAAACTACCCATTGGTAGCACTCCAATTATATTTCTATATAAGAAGGTCCCGAGGCCATCTTATTTTCAGACACCTCGGAGGGTTATCAGGAATAGAAGAGGAAGCAAGGTTGGAAACGAGAGGGTTCGGATGGTTCAGAAGTTTATTATGAAAGATCAGGTATCTGGATTGAGCTAAATCGGAAACATATGGTACATTAAGGTCATTATGGATGATTTTATTTGTGAAAAAGTAGGGAGCATTGAGGATTTTACGAAGGATTTCGGATTGTAGAGATTGGATACGAGAGGAATTTGATGGTTTAGTAGAGCCCCAAAGCTCGATCCCGTAAGTCCAAATAGGCCTTATTATAGTAATAAGGTTCAAACTTCTTTCACGAAACTTTCTCTTCTGCTCCTGATTCTAAATCAATATGGCTAACCTCTCTCATTGTAAACCCTCTTCCTCACCGTTCTACCCGGTATCACCCGATGAACTAAATTCCTACTTTATATCTTCCACCACCAGCAACAGTTCACCCACCTCTCACCAGTTTTCCTTATCACCCTCATTTAATAGTGATAATTTCTATTTCTCCAACATTTCACCGACCGACCTTATTTCCTCTATAACGAAATCACACACAAACTCCATCGGACTTGATGGGATACCAGTCAAACTGTTAAAATTATGCCTTCCCGAAGTCGTTCCAGTTCTCCTTTTCATCTATAATTTTTCCCTCCAGAACTCAGTTTTTCCAACTGCTTGGAAAAAAGCATTAGTCAGACCTATCAACAAAATTCCCAATCCTACCTCTCCTAAAGACTACCGCCCAATCTCCATTCTTTCTAACCTTTCTAAACCTCTGGAAAGAATAGCTCAATCCCAAATCTCTAAATTCCTTGAAAACTCAAAACTACTCGATCCTCTCCAATCTGGTTTCCGACCTGGCTTCTCCACACAATCCGCCCTACTAAAAATTACCAATGACATACCGCAATGGACGAAAAAATGTTAACTGTGTTAATACTTCTCGACTTTTCCAAAGCTTTTGACTCCTTAGACCACTCTATACTCTTTACTAAATTAAAATCTCTATCCTTCTCCAACAGCTCTATCCTCTGGTTGCAGTCTTTCCTATCCGACAGAACTCAAGCAGTCAGCATTCCAAACCAACCCCTATCTTCCTTTCTTACACTGTCCTCTGGAGTGGCCCAGGGTTCGAGCATTTCCCCTCTCCTTTTCAATTCCTACATAAATGATCTTTCCAAATCCATCTACCACTGTTCACATCATTTATACGCTGATGACACCCAAATATATTTTTCCTTCCATCCTTCTGAGCTACTAGTCGCGTTCGCCAATATTCAGGCAGACCTAGATAGGATCAGTGCGTGGGCAAGTCTGAATAATTTAAATCTAAATGCGATGAAAACTCAGGCCATTATTATAGGTTCCAGTCCTATTTTTAAATCCATCTCCTTCCTTCCTCCTTTAGTCATCAACGATCATCCTGTCACATTCAGTTCATCCGTTAAAAACCTAAAAAAAACCTTAAAAAACCTCTCCTGGAAACCCTATATCGCCCTCATCTCCCGTAAGTCAATAGGTACCCTTAAGCTATTTCATCGGTCCCGCCACCTACTCCCACAACCCATCCGCAAGCTCCTTGTATCCTCTCTCATTTTCCCCCACTTTGACTACGGCTGTGTGGTGTACGGAGGCATCCCGATGGTACTCGAGGATAGATTGAAGCGACTCATGAATACGTGCTTAAGATTTGTCTTCGGTACATCAAGGCGATCTCATGTGTCCCACCTTTACGACGAGTTAAAGTGGCTCTTCCCTTCTTTCCGCAGACAATATTTCCTCGGATCTTTCCTATTCCAAACAATCAACACCAGACACCCTTCTTACATCTACAGTCTCCTACAGTTTAAACCCGTGGTCCACTCCCAGAAAACAAGATCCCGTGTTTCCGACCTTTATATCCCTTCCCATAGAACTAAGACGTTTGAATATTCCTTTATTTCCCGATCCACAGCCTTCTGGAATTCCTTGCCATCTGAAATCCGCCATGCCTCTTCCTTGTCCTCATTTAAATATCATCTGTACCAATTCCTTCTCACATCCCAAAATGACGTTATACAATAAAATAAATATTGTGAAACAGATTTTGACTGAGGTGAATGGTTGATAAAATTTATTGAGTCTTAATTTTAAAAATCAACCCATGCTTATTTTATTTTTTATTTTCATTTAAATAATGTTTTTTTTTTATTTCGTTTTTTCTCAAAATTTTATTTTATTTTTACTTGTTTTAATTTAATTTCACTGAAGATACTGTATATATTCTTTTATATTGATTAATGTAATTTTTGGCCAGATGTAGTTTTTATTTTTTTGTTCATATTTGTTATTCATAAGGGACCTTGTCCCAGAATAAAGTTTATTTTCTATCTATTCTATCTAATATATATGAGTCTTTTGTAAATAGTTGGCAGTTTAGAGCGTTTGTCTAGTAAGTGCTGGAGTAGTCGGAAACATCGGGCGGTTTCTAGTCGTTTCAGTCTGGTATGGGGGTTCCAAGTGAGTCGTTTGTCAAGGTGGAGTCCTAGGTATTGGATTTGGTCAACAGGGATAAGTGGGGCATTGTTAAAGGATACTGTAGGACAGGAAGTCATAGGTTTACGACGAAGAGTAAAGGTAATTTGATGGGATTTATTGGAGTTTATTTTAATCCTCCAGTTTTGACAGGATTCAAGTAAGTTGTAGGTAAGAGTATGACCAGGAGGACAGTATACAGCTGAGAGTGTTAAATGGAAAGGACGGGTTGAAATGATTACTGAAGTTGCTTGAATAGCCTCAGTTGGAGTAGAAGGAATGAGAGAATGGGATAAGGATGCAAGAACCGGTATGGGAAGTGTTGTCGGGGTGGTCTGATCTATAAGTGATGTAGTCACGTATGTAGAAATATGAACGTTGTGTGAAGTGAGTTACTGTCAGTAGAGCAATATCAATGTGGTAGTCATGAAGAAAAATGTCAAGTTCGTCTCGATGGTTGTGTAGTCCATTAGCATTCCATAAAAGAACAGCTAGGGGCTTTGTACTCATCGTGAGAGATTAAAGGGAATTTCGGTAAGGATTCTTGTGAGGAGAGTAATAAGAGGTTTTATAGTATTTTGGAGGTCCAATAGGAAGGATGAAAGAATGGCAGTTATGTCAGATGGATGTTGGTTGTAATGTGAGTTTAGGGTAGGTTCTTGTGGCGGATTAGGAGTGTTAATTAAGGGCGGCATCCGTCGTTGTTTGCGAGGAGGGTCTGGAATCAAAGGTGCTTGTGCGGTTTTTGTTTTCTGAACATTAGGTTGAGGTAGCTGAGGGTACTGTGGCGGTAATTTTATTCGTAGGGGTAGATGATGAGGGGGAATTTGCTGACGGGGAGAATGAGATTGAGGATTGGGAGTATGAGGTTTGGATTGGGAGGTCCGAGGCGCCTGACTTCGAGGTTCCTGCTTCTTGATAGTGGTTTGTGTGTAAGTTTTGCTGGAGTCCTGACGAGGATGATAGAAGTCAGTTGAAGTGGACGCTTCCTGTTGTGTGACATGAGTAGTTTTTGTCGGCAATTCTGGAAAATTTGAAATATTTCCAATTTCTGGTGGGTCGGTGTAATTTTGTTGAATGCTTTTTTAGGCCATGTTCCGAGATCGTAGCTTATAGTGATTTTTGTAGACTATGCAGCCCTTATAGCTTGCCGGGTGGTCTTCGCCGCAGAGAGCACATTTAGGAGGCTGGTCTAGAGTTTCTGGAATGTGTTCGATGCGTGTAAGCCGGCACATCTTACGCACCTGGCCTGATGATGGCAATAGGTCTTTGTATGCCCGAGTTCTTGACACTTAGTGCATTGCACTAATACTGGTTTGTGCCTAGGCTCTTCAAATTTAACTGTTGAATATATAAGCAGGTTAACTTGAAATATCTCGGAGTTATTATTAGCAGGCTCTAAATCAATGAAGAATAAAGGTAAT